AGATAAGATAAGATAAGATCCCACAGTGAGGAAATTTGCACATTACTGCAGCTCAGTACAGGAGAGGGTGAGATAAAATAAAGAACAAAGATACATAGAAGGAAAGAGAAAAAAAAGGGGAAAAAAGCTCCCATTTAAGAWTTTTGGAATGAAATGCAGCCTTTGACGTTGGTACGCGGCTTTTGTTGCGACACCATCATCCTGCCACAAAAGCTAACACTGCTAAAGATATMATTTAACSTTTAATTTAAAAATGTGGTAAKTGAATTTTTTTCGACTATGATTTGGGACAGCCTTTGGCGCACGGCAGTGACGTAAGCAAATGCACACATCATACACAAAATATTTAACATAAAATGATGGTGTGACGCCAAATTGACCGCAACATAAAACTAAAAAATAAATAGCCTTGATTCATGAAGATATTTTGAATTTTTTGTTTGAAAATGGTAACAACCCACTTTGTTTTTAGCCTAATTCAAGCTAGCTGTTAGCATCTCAGTCTGATCAGAATTAACCTTTATTTCTTTAAACTGAGGTCAATCAAAGTGCGATACACAGCATGTAAGACATTGTCCCATTGAACCATCTCTTTAAGTTTGTCTTTAAACACTTTTGCCCTTTCACATCCTTATAGTTATGATTCCAGACATGTGAAGCAGCCTGATGAGAAGAAACTGCTCGATTTYGTTTTAATTACAGGCTTGCATGAAACATCTCCTAATGTCTTTTCTGCGAACGCCGTCTCGATGATGCACCTATTTTGTGTGGTTTATGCTTTGATTAAAAAGAAAAAACTGGCAACAACATGCAATCAGCTTCTTTAAAAGAAAAAAAATCATCTTTTGCTACCTGGCAACGCTCGCTTCAAAGTGCTCGTTACAGAAAAACATGGAGACGCATGCTTAGTGTCATAGTGCTGTTTACTCTGTTCTTCTACAAGTACTCAATAGATTCTAAAAGCAGTGATAGCAAATAAGTAGGTAGATTTTAAAGAACTGTGTGTACGATGTGTGCTACCTGGCCACGTGGTTGATCACAGGGGAGAAGTTAGTGGGTCCGTAGAGTTGAACTGATTTCAGACTTTGGTAGTAGGCATCCATCACTCCATCGATACCTGCACAATATGGGTTCTGGGGGTTTCCATTCTGCAAAGAAACAACAAGACAATGACCCATCTGAGACACATTCAGCTGGGCAACCAGCAAGCTCAAGAAATGGACTCAATCAGGATTAATGCTTTCCTGAAAACCAAMGTTGAGCCTGACCACCCTACAGACGAAACCCAATTCAGTCGCTTGTATCAAAGTACCAAGCCATAGATGGGGGTAGAAGGTATATGGATCAGTAAACTCAGACCTTTAAATAAAATTACGGCCGGCAAAAGTGAGCTGATTTCAACAGGAGGCAGATAATTTGTCTCGAGGATTTTTAGTACCATATTTTTCGGACTATAAGCCGCAACTTTTTTCCTGAACTTTGAACCATGCGGCTTATAGTCCGGTGCGGCTTATACGTGGATTTTTTTCTTCAGCCACCAGGGGGCTCTTATGCTCCAATTGCTTCAACTACTCGCTTCAAAAAAAAGAAGAAAAAAGAAAAAGAAAAAAACGATCGCTTCCAGAGCCGACTGTTGACCAGGAAGCAGCGATTTAAAGATAGTCAACGGCCAAAAACTCATAAAAGGGGATAAAACAGACATTTTTCACGGTGGAATCTGACTGATAAAAACTTTGGAGCTTAATCCAGGACCAGTTTGTGGATAAACGTCGAGTGAAGAGCTGCTGACTTTTTTTTCCTCACTGCACTCCCTGGGGAAGGAATCCCATGCAGTGACGTATGTTGGAGCGGGAGGGCTTTCCCACCACAGCTTACCGCTGTGTGACGCAGCTTTTCTCAGCTTGTTTAACTCCGAAACTGAAGAGGACTTCGATGTTTTCAGTGCGCCAGAGGACGATGAATGAGACTTTTTGTTGGACCAGAAACAGATAAAGAAAACTACCAAAATAAGGTCAGTTAAATGAACCGTATTCCTCCGAACTTTACCGGTAATTTCTAAAGGTTTGCTTTTTATGTTTTAATTCCAGACCTCTCGCCTTTTTTTTCCCGAGAGTTTTTTATATTATTATTATTATTATTATTATTATTATTATTATTATTATTATTATTATTATTATTATTTTGTACCGGTGAACTTCCCAACCTTTTTCTTAAAAATAAATGTGATGTTGAATTCACTTTTTTGACCACAATTTTGGGTGTACTGTTTTGTTTTTGTTTTTACTGATGGGGGGGTGTGGCTTATAGTCCGAAAAATATGGTAATCTAATTACTCAAATTATTTGAGGAATTGTTTCAGCCCCACTGCGAACCAATCCAATCATACGTTGAAATCCATTAAATCACAGTTACAAAAATCAGCGTCAAGACCTTGAGTTTCCCATGACTATGTCTTGAGATCCTGTTCATGAAAACCAGAGTTCACCCAGCACCAAGAAGGAGCTCCACTTGGTACCAAAGATGCAGACACTGCTCTTGTTTTGGTTGTACAGAGATTAGACAGCCCTTTAAAATCGACCCCACTATCCCAACGAATGCCTCACTAAACACAGTCGTAATCCTAATCCATATCCAAAAGGTACACAGACTGGAAAGTCCAACTCCAGTGAGCCGCTCTGCCACGTCTCGTACATACCAGGGCAAATTCATGAGATACTCGTCCGTCGGGGGGGAGTTTGGCTCCAAAGCCCAGCGCGGGAAACATCTTGTCGCTGTCRTAGTCCTGAATGATCTCTCCGACGGCCTTCAGCGCCATGCCGTAAGCATTCAGCTGGTAGGGGTTCATGTAGTGGAGYGAGGTGGGCTGGGCTGGGTTTCCTGTTTGGGTCAGAGGGAACATTCGGCCAATCAAAAATGTCACCTAAAAACCATAATTACAATGTGTAGACAAGTCAAACAATTATAAAAAAAACAAAAAAACAAAATGACCTGGTAATTTCTAAAGTTTATAAATTTAAAAGTTAAACTGTGAGCAGATCCATCACAGCTTCATGGTTGTATGAATGTTGATTTGGCATTTTTGAGCTTTTAGCTGCTGTTCATCTTCTTTTAGTTAGCCTTTGGAGCTTTTAGTTTTTAGAAATCCTTTTGCTACCATTARCTTTTAGCCAGTATTTTTCTTCTTTTAGCTTTCAGTTGCCATTTAGCCACCAATTTACTATTTTTACATCCTACTTACTTTCAGCTAATATTTTACTACTTTTGGCTTTTAGCTTGTTTTGCTTCCTCCTTTTAGCTTTTCTTTTTATTTAACTTTTAGCGCATGTTTTGGTGATTTAATAGCATTTTGCAGATCTTAACTAGGCTTTTGTTGGCAAAACTTTTCTTTTAGCCTCCAGCTAGTGTTTTGTTACTTTCAGCTAACATTTTACTATTTCTGGCTTTTAGCTAAAGATTTTTTTCGTCTTTTTATCTTTTAGCTTTCAGTTACCATTTAGCCACCAATTTATTATTTTTAACTCCTAGTTAGTGTTGTGTTACTTTCAGCTAATATTTTACTTCTTTCGGCTTTTAGATAAAGTTTTGTTTCCTACTTTTAGCTTATCTTTTCATTTGACTTTTGGTGAATGTTTTGCTGGTTTTAAACAGGTTTTTGCTGGCTAAACTTTCCCTTTAGCCTCCAGGTAGCATTTTTTGTTTGCTTTCAACTAACATTCTACTACTTTTAGCTTTTAGCAAAAGATTTTTTTTCTTCTTTTTAGCTTTTAGTGTATCTTCTAATTTTTCACTTTTATCAAATGTTTTCCTATTTTTACTTGCATTTTGCTGCCTTCAACCAGGCTTTTGCTGGCTAAACGTGCCTTTTAGCTTCCAGCTAGATTTTGTTACTTTTAGCAAATTTTGTACTACTTTTAGCATTTACATAATTATGTCATTTTTAGCTTGCAGGTAGAGTTTTGCTGCTTTATTAACGAAGTCCTTCAGCTAGCTTAATCTTCTTTAAGTTGACTTAACGTGATCGTGTCAGTACTTTAACCAAATTGAGATTTTAGCGGCAGGATAACAAACCTCCAACACATTCTTACATGCACCTCTTGAAATCTTTTATTGGGTTTGATAGAATTTGGCCTGACTATTGCTTCATGTTTGGCCTGAACTCCAGCAGCGATGGATAACACGGCTCCTAATCACGAGCATTGTTGCAYGTTAGCGCGCTAAGCTTTGTGTGTTTCCAGGCAGGTCTAAGAGTGTACGCACAAAAAAAGTGTTTATGAGCTCACCATTAGAGGCTGTGAAGTCGATGGCCACGGTGAAGTTTATCTGAGTCCTTGGAAAATAAACAACAAAAAAGACAAAACAGTAATTCATTATATGACTGAAAGTCATAAAAAACTAAAACTCAAAGTCGCTGGATTTGAGTTTCAGTTTGGACCATCAGAGTTTTGTGCAGGAGCACTTCCTGAGTTAAGCCTGAACAGGATAAAAATCAATTAATTGTAAAAGAACAGAACTCTGCAGCACCTGCTGTGAGAAAGCAACACTTCTCTCTCAATCAAAACATTCCCTAACCTGTGTGAGCGCAGTGTGGTTAAACACGCTGTCACCGTGTTTTCACACCAATCTCTAACGCTGCCGCACACACACTTCCCTCAAGCATTTCTACAGTCAAACATCATCTTTGTCACCTGGGCCTGAAGTCCTCTGTGCAGTCCAGTGGTGAATGAGGGTACAGGAGACACTTTCTGCAGTTTTGGCTCTTTACTACCTGCCAGGTGCTAAAGCTAAAGCTAACGAGATGCTGAAAGAGCTTCATAACATCAGCTAACTCCAAAACAAGCACCCCAAGGGTTTTAACGCGGTGGCTGGAGATTTTAACCATGCTGCAGTTTGACCAGCATGTCCCCATTTCAACAAGAAAAAAAAAAAAAAAACACGCTGGTCTAGATGTCCCCCGCCCCCAACCCGGGCTTCTTTAACATCTCCATGTTGATTCCTTAAGAGCTAACACAATGCTAAGCTAACAATAACCCTCCATATTTTTGAGTACCACCTAGAGTTAGGTAAAATTGTATTGTGCAATTAATTGTCATAAAATTTGTCACCAATTAATATTAGGCAACTGATCATTAATATAAGTCATTGGGGCATGAAGTTAATGCTAATGTTAACAGAACTAATGCTAAGCTAACACTAACCTTCCATATTTCCAGTTATCAGCAAGTAATCATAATAAAATTTGTCGCAAATTAATATTTGGCACTTGGTCAGTAATATAAATCATTGTGGCATGAAGCTAAGGCTAATTCTAAMGAGGCGCTAGTATAAAGCTAATGCTATGCTAACACTCCATATTTCCAGGTATCAGTTATGGTTGGGCAAAATCGTATTGTGCGCAATAAAACGKGAAAAAATGTAATAATATCATTGATTAATATTTGGCACTTTGCAGTTATTGCAATAGTGACCGAWATGTATAAGTGATTGTGGCGCACACTGTGCTAATGTTAACACCAACCCTATATAAAGTCAAAAGCATGGAATTTCAATTGTCATCGAATAATGTCATATCAGTTATCAGATAAATGCCATAATAATCGTGATAACATTTTTTTTCACCAATATTGCCAACACTAAAGCCACCCCATCACCTAGCCCCACAGAGCCAAGCCTGTTTGACTATCAGCCAGTACATCTCAACCTCAAAGTCATGAATTGCTTTGAGAAACTGGTTATAGCCCACATTCCACAGAGGTCCATAATCCTTCGACAAAAAMCCAAACTATGGCTTTAAAGAAGAGAAAGCAGAACAATGTGGGCTAAATAAGTGAGCTTTTGCTTCTGGGTTGTAGTTTATCATTACCTTAAATGTCTCCAGGCTTTAAGCAGTTGGCCACATATCGACTCTGCACAGAAACACCACTAAGTTTCATTAATGACAAAACTAAGACATTTTTYTACGTCTTTGAACACAAGAAACATTTACTATCATAATTGGATTTTCCTCATCGGGCTTTAGAAACCTTATTAAATGGCTCRCACCCAACAGTGATTTAGTAAAAAGAAATTAGCTTCAGGACCATTAATAAAAGAGTTTGTCAGTAAAATTATGAAGGTATCAGGACTGGATTGACTCGGGGACATGCTGCAGGGACAAGTGGGCAGGATTCTGCTCGTGTTGTTAGAGACAAACTTCAGCCGAGTTGTTTAAATTATGCATGCCCTCTTTTTCCTCCGCTGTCAGATTTTCTGTCCTTCACACAAAGTTTATGAGTCAAATTGAGGCAGGCAGAGAAACAAACTGAAAAATATTAACAGGCGTCTTGAAACCGTGAAGAAAAGGAAAAAAAATGTGGTTTACGTCACTGTAAAACTTCAGCAAATTCAATGAGACATAATCGATACAATTTCAAAGACGACACTGAGCTTTAAAAGCACAGTAAAGCCCTGTAAACACCTCTCTGAAGTGAGTTATTACTAAGTCACTGCTGGTATTGATTAAGATTTACAAACTTCTGAAGCCTGGTCATTTTATTCAGCATTTGTTTCCATTAGCAGAACGTCTACAATAATAATTTTTTAAAAAAATTCCGGTAGAAACAAAATGAAATTTGCATTCGATGCTCGACACAATCATCTCAATTTGTCTCTTAATGGAAGCGACTTTTAAAATGCAGATAAGAACGTGTAACACTCTGTAAAAAGGTCGAATACATGGTCTGAATTAAACAGACAAGAATCTGGATGTAGTAAAGACATAAAAAAAGGAAAGAAGAGAGGGAAGAACACAGTTGTCCTTTAAGCGCTACTAAGAAAATGATCCTCCTCGCAGAAACAGAACCATTTGCCGTCTAMGCTCATCTACCTTGATATTTTCTAACAGCGATTCTTTCTCCAACCCACCAGGTGGCTGAACACATCAACTCCTCCTCATTACAGCGACAGGATCTTCAAAGGGACCTAAATTATGCCAGATATGGGAGCAGGAGTCGCCGTGGCCCTTTAATGTTTCTCTTTAAATTCAAGGATGACCCAAAAAGTTCAAAGAAGTCAAAAAGGGCTGAGAAGTTTCCAACATGAATAAATGCTTGGAAAGTGTTTCAAATAAACTTGTTTTCCTCGTTAACAAGCACCAGGGTCAGCTGTTTGATGTGACCACTCCTGATGATACATCGAACAGRTGCTGCTGGTTGGACAGCCTCCATGTGACAAGGAAAGAAGAGAGGACTGACTGAACCATCACCAACTTGAAGCTAACCTCCCTGGAAAATCTTAAACACTAAATTTAGGCCTCAGTATTGGGTGCAGCTCTTAAGACTATATTGTTCACTAGGGCTGTGTATT